TGCTGGGATCATATCCTTAGCTTTATTGAACAGTTTGGCACGCAACTCATTATATTTGTTGCATTCCAGCAGGGTAGTGTACCAATTCATCATTGAATTTAAGATGATTAGTTTTTGAGATATCAGTGGGAAAAGACAAAAATTTACTAATTATTATGCAAATTAAGTAACTCTTATGTGCAGATTTTCACCAAAAATCAGGTCTGTGCATTGTCCCAGAGGATCTAAGTACCAAGTTTCATTGAACCCTGGCCATTGGTTCTTGAGATATCAGTGGAAAAGACAGACATGGACTAGGGTAACCATGAAGACTCCCTTTGTTGGCTTCACACACAGAAATAAAAAATGTTGATGACATTCTATGTATCAAGAATATTACTGTACCATGCAATACAAATTAGATATGTAACCATGGAAACTCAAGACAGCTGTGGTACAATGTTATTTTTAATGTTATTTGATGGCTCTGTGATATTGTGTGAGAATAACATATGTTTACCAAACAATGTAACAGTAGTGAATGCCCTGTGTAATCAAGGCTGTACTTTCTGTCACATAGACCATGGAGCTAGCTCCATGCATAGACCAACACGACTAAAACTATGAGAATTTATAACTTATTGTAAAAGATGATTATGCAATAACATATTTTAACTTGGTGAAGTACACACTGCAGAATTTGGATCTGTCATATCTATTCAGATTAACCAAAATTTATTATTAGACTATGCTGTCTAGTGATTCAGTCTGAAGTATTGTAGACAGTCTGGTTTTACTGTGGGTCAGTATGCACATACATGTTGCCAGTAATGTAGTGAAGTCATGAGATCATACCCTACGTGTATCAGTGGTGACAACAAATATGTGCCGACTACAAAATCATATACATGTACTGTTAAATAATTTATTTTCGCTCTGAACTTCTTTTCACTGAAAAGATGGTTCAGTGAAAATAAAATCTAACGAATATACTTTTTTTCTATATTTTACATTCAGTTCATCAAAAATCAGTGAAAATAAACTCCACACAGAACACTCAAAAAGTATTTTCAGCGAAAATTAATTCCAGCTAAAATAAAGTATTTGATGGTAGTGATTCAGTGGACCAGAATACTGTAAAATGACTAATTTTCACTGGGTTTAAATTCCGCTGATTTACCATTTCAGGCATATTCAGTGGGTTTTAAATTCACGGTTTATCATTCGGAAAATGTGTTCTATGCTAAATTTTACATATTCACTGAGTTTTAATTTACCGCATTTTCAAGTCAGCGAAATAAGCAAAATTAAAACCCAGTGAATAATTAACCCTTTTACAGTAGCTGGACTCCAGGCTAATTTATTGTATTAACCACCAATTTACACACAGTTGTTATTTATGTAGTGCATGGAGCAGTGACTCATATTGTTTCCTTTGTGTGCTATGATAGTTGGCAATTGTTTGCCTAGTAAACAATCTGTTTTTTTGTTATCTATCTATGCCAATAAACAAGCAAATACGTCATACGATTTAACCACATCAAGCATGCATACGCATAACCAGCTTAACTGAGCTGTATGGATAAACTGAATAAGATTATGCATGACACTAGCATGTTATTTTCTTCTCATTTTTTTTATCAATATATTCAAATATATTAGTAGTAGCAACAGTAATCACACTTTTGACACAAACTTGCAAGTCAATCATTCCCTGTGACTGGATATTTGAAAGTTCAAAGAAACAAGATATGAATGTCACAGTCCCCGTCATTTAATTATAAAATACTCATGTTAAAAATAATACATGGAACATCTGCAAACAATTGAATTAATATGTACTCTATGTGGGTACAACTCATCATAAAGTGATTTCCCTTAATCTGATAACTGAAAACTTTCATTGACTTTGTTAATTCAGGTCTTTGTATATTACCAGGACCTGGGTTTGTTTCTGTATCACCACTATAATTCCCATCAAAGTGTAGATCTGACACCCCTCCACTGAGATTGGTAATGGTACGATCCATCTGTCACTGTCACTGATTCAGATCAAGGTCATGAGATCACTAAAAACCCTAGCATTACAATCTATTTAATTATTTATTCTGAGCATGCTCAGTTGTTCTCTTAGTGATGTTGGAAGAGGTAGTTTTGGATGAAAATCATGAAAAAGACCCACTTAGGATTTTCAGATTTGTAAAAAAAAAATTACGTGCATATTCGGAAGAGACTTGTTCATCAACATGCAAGTTTCATCAATATCTGCTGCAGAATTTCTAAGAAAATGTTAGGGACAAAAAGCGGAAATAAGAATTAATAGTCCGCCTTTCAGGTTGCACCTGAAACGGGACTAATAAATGGAATAGCCAAACAATAAC